TAAGGCCATTAGTGGGACTCAATCTTCTGATCAGTAAACCATAGACTGATGATAACTATTTCTGAAGTCAGTCATTACAAAGAGTGCTAGGGATCACTGTGGGTTAGTACTAAACACTCTTCTCAGTGCTAAATGAGTAACTGTGTTTTCTATTAATCTCTAACAGTAATTCTTCACCAGGGAAAATAAGCAACGTTACTACTTTCAGACTACAACAATAACAACAGTAACCATGTTAAATATTTTTATGCCTTTTTCCAGTGTTTCCTACCCTGAGCAAGATTTATAGGGTTATAGTAAAGTACATTAGAAAAACATGGGGATGGGTGCGGTGATGCAAACCAGTCAGTAGCTAAACTATCCCACATCTACTCTGTCCCAGCTAAAAACCCCATTATGAAAATACCTTTTTCTGTCATGTTTTCCTGCTCTCCTACGTACATTCCAACCCACTTATGTCCCTTCTCACAAACCTTTCTTTCCAGGTTTTTAATGTAGATATTACCTGCTTTCTCCTCTCTTGACACCTATGTGCATATCTGGGTTTAGTAAACAATCCTACTAAACGCACCCTGCTAGCCCCTACACAGATCCTCTGCCTCCTTGGAGTTCATTTGGCACCAAACTCAGTGCTTAGGTCCCATGATCAGTATAACACAGGTCTTCTCACAGCAGATTTGCAAGCTTCTCTCCTAGGGCCTTCCCTCATGTATCCTTCTCAGGTACCACAAGCACCATGGCTTGGCTATAGAGGCCTTAGGTTTTGGGTTATATGCCCTAAAACAGCAGCAGGGACTTTAGTCTCAGCACTTGCTATTCCCAAACTTCTCACTACTCCCCTAGCTCAGTGTCCTTTGTTAAGAGGTCAGTGCTAGAAGTGCTCACAGGGCCCTTGTGCAGATTACTGTGGATGGTTCTTCCCAAATGGGTCTTGCGTTTGGGCTTGGAACCCTTGGGGTCCAGACTCCTGTGGGCAGGCAAACTCTCACCAACTAGTGCAAAAAGTCTTTCACTTGTTTCATAACTCCTCAGGTACAAACCATATATTGCCACACATGGCTTATAAATGTTACCAAGTTTGTAAATAAATTACCTGCCTGTAAGGTGGTTCACATTTGTAAGGTGGTTCACAGTTGATATGAAACACTTGATAACAAAATTACAGACCAAACTACAACAAATGCTGAGGGAGCTGCTGTCCTGTGCTGGGCAAACCACTTCGAGAAAACCCTTAATAGCTGAATTAAATGATCAGAATTTCTCCCTTCCATGATGAGAAAACCACCTACTGAATATCCCTATGCATTAAACACCAGAGTATCCCTCAGTGCAGATCTTTTGTGCAACTTAGCCCGAATTCCAAAACTGGGGTCACACCACAGAGCCCTGCTATATGACAACCAATTGCATTTCCTCCCAGATGATACAGAGAAATCCAGATGACCTTGAGATGCATGGACTTAAGGGAACAGTTTCATAAATGAGTACAGCAAACATCAAAAAGAACTGAATTAGACAGACCACACAGACCCAAGTGAACTTGAACATTGCTGTCATAACTGTTTATAACTTTTCTCTCCAAAACAAAAGGAGTCAGTGTAGGCATCTGTCTATGTAACAAGACAAACTGCAGAGCAGCTCAAGTCCCCAGATCACTTACTTTCAGTAACTGCATGTATTTGATTTTACAATATGCTTAGTGGAGGAGCCTTAGGAGGCTGAATGATAATGTGGAGAAGTTAATAGAGAGGGAGGGGAAGATGACAGCAGGCAGAAGAAGAGGAAAGATAAATGAAGGCTCACTACTGCATCCATTCACTTCAAAATAACACCACCACCTGCTTCTGTGAAAGGTCTGCAAGACCCTTCACAGCAATTCAGGAGCTTGTCATCAGATTTCCTTTTCAACTGAAAGACTCATGAAACAAGTTCAAAGCACTAACTCTCAGTTCTGTCTCTCAGCAGAACTGCAAGCTGCTTTTGAACCTTGTGTTTTGCAGTCTTGTCTGCCCAGTACATAGTGCTGGTCAAGATCACAGAACATTTTCCTTGCTGAACGCCAAACAGATGTTACAAAACACATTTGGTGGAACACATATATAAACACATCTTGGCGTTTTCTCATAATAACCCTAAAAAGCCCAAAACCTTGGAGCTGATGGGGGAATGCAGAACTGAATTCTGGTCCATAGCTGGTTTTCATGACACATTTTAAAAACCTGCTACACCCCAGGAATCTTCAAAGATGCACTATCAGACACTCAGGCTCCAAATTAGTAAACTAAATATGGGACTCTCCTCTGGCAGAGGAAGCAGCCACACCATTAACCTTTCTTATCATCCAAAACAGCGTGTCCACATTCTGCCTGCTGTGTCTTTGAGGTATTGGCTGAGACTCTGATAGTTGGTCTGGGCTAAAACTGCCCCAGGGGTTGCTCTAATAAATTACATGTATACGCAATTGAGTTACAGTGCCCAGAAACATTCTCTGGTGCTGTTTAACTTACTAGCATAGATGTAACTCTTACTTCTCTTGGGCTCTGGCTACGGATCCAGAAATAGGCTCAAGTTCCCAGGTTCAGACCTTCACTGAAGGAAGACTCATGCATGTAAAAAATCCCTCCTCAAGGGCTTCATTTCTGTGTAAAGAAAATGGATAAAATGCAGACCATATAGCAGAGGTCAGGCTTTGTGCAGTATACTTCAGCTCTCACTACAGCTCTGGGCATGGAGTGCAGGGCCCTGAAAGCAGCTCTTTGCAAACTGAAGGGCTTTCAGCAAGTTGGCTATACCAAGGGACCAGCTTATGGTCAGCTAAAGGTTATCCTATGGGGGCATAAAACTGTATATATATTCAAGTCATAAGCTAAGTAAAGAGGTATTCAAGTCAGAGTTTTAAAATCCTTGATATTGACAAATAAATATATATTTGGGAGCACAAGGGGAGATGTCCTGAAAGCAAAAATGGTAACATCAGCCTTCAATCAATATAGCAAATAAATCAGGTTTGCCATTGTTTGATAGAAACACATTCAAGTGATGATCTTTAGTCTAAAAAAAAATCACTAGCTAACCAGTGAGAAGGCATGGGAAACAGCCTTTTATAATATTTATATTTATTTTCTTTGCCTGGGTCAGAACCAGTTCCCTTAAATTCCATAGTGGTTTCATTTTTGACTTTTCATGGGAGCTGGGCTGAAAACTGTGGCTCTAATTTTCCACTTGCAGAGCATACTGGTGTCTTTGCCTATTTATCCATCCCGACAATTGCTCATGTACGTGGTTTCTTCTGTTTCTCCTAGTCCACAGCAGCTGTCTGCATGACCTGTGAAATACTGCTGTAGTTCTTACCAACAGCACAGCACTGCAAGGCCTCCACAAATCCAGGGGCCCTTGATCAGAGCTCTGACAAAAGACACTGTGACCAGGCCTGATCTTCTGCTTCCCAAACACACCTGAAGACAGGTGTTCTTGTACTATAACTGGTAATCTGATGATTGCCATGGCCAAAGGACTTGAGAACGAGATCTTCAAAGAAAGAAGCTGACTGCTGACACTTAGGGATCTTATAAAGGCCATGCTTGAGCTTAACACTCAATCCCATTTTTCGATTGTCAAGGAATAATGATTTGGTACAAGGAATGATGTTAGAACTGAAGGATGTGACTTAAGTCCAGGTCAGCTTCAGCTTTTGAAAATTAAAGAAAAAGATTTGCTTTGCAAAGATGTAAAAAGCATAAAAAAAGGGCAGACAATGTGATCAAAAATACATTTAAAAACCACAGAGAATGATGGAAATTTCAGAGGAGTTTTTTTGTTATAGCAAGTGGCTCCCGGAGTAAACAGTGCAATGTTCCAGAGTTCCTCAGTTTTCAGGTAAACTTTCCATTTCTGAGTATTCCAACAGTTACTGGTTTGGGCTCCAGGTGCACCCAAAAACTATACCAATAATTATATTCCTAAAGAATAAAATATTTAAGCTTGTGCCCAGACCCCACTGGTTTAACAAAATCTAAACATGTACACGAGTGCTTGGCTAGCAAGTGCAAAGATCACCTTCAAGCATCATCCAAGCTCTGCTCCTGGGCTGAATGAAGTCAGAAAAATGGTTGTCAGGATTTCTGTAGAGGCATCTTAACCCTGTTAGTCTCTAGAGGAGCTCAACCATTCATTTCCACAGGGACAGCATCTCTCTTCCAAGGAACCTAATTCTTCCCTGTGCCATTTCAAAGTGAAGCTGACACAATGCCACTAGCAACAACCACGTAAAATGGAGTAATACAAGGAAAGACTAGTGCCAGGTTTCCATTCCTGACCTCTAACATAATGTTGACATAAAGTACTGGTCAAGATCCCAGCTCCTTCCTGCATCTGTTCATTATCTCTAAAACCAAGTACTGTATTGCCTAGTTCCCAGGGAAGCAGTAACCATAATTTGATTAATAAGTGCAAAATCACTTTGAGCTTCTTAGAGAAAATACATGGAATAAATATTGTCCAGGCCCATATTTTTACATTATAAACTAGGCAGAAAGTGGGAACAACAAAGAGGAATAGATTGTTATATTCATTTAATATAATTTATAAATGGATAAATGCTTGCAGTTATTTGACTTGGCAACATTTGCAGCACTCCACAGCAGTAAATCAAACAGAGTTAAAAGAGGATGGAGCAAATCCCTGCAATAAAGATATAAGTGGTAGACAAGCTCTTGTTCACACTGCTTTTATGCCAGAGCTGCAGATATATACACATAAAATACTCCAAGTTGTTCATGACAGTTCTAAACTTACTGAAATATATTCAAATAACTACATTAATTAGTTGTGTAGAAGAGAAAGGCAGTCTCACAGGTGACACTGCATCTTGTGTTGCTGATAAGAAACAAGAACTTTCAAAGCAGCAGGAAAAATTTACTAGTTGAGTTGCATTCTGTCAAGTGTTTTTTTTTTTTATAAGATGCTAAATTCTATTAACTTCTCTTTCCTTAATGTAAAAGGTTAACAACAGAATATCCAGGACATTATGGAGAAGATATGGACATGATGATGTACACTTATGACTACTACATCCGTGGGGCAACCACAACTTTCTCTGCTGTAGACAGGTTTGCTTTTCACGTGTTTCATTAGAACTTTTAATTATTTTATTTTAAAAAAGGTCTTCCTTTCCTGTTTCCCCCAATCAGTGCACAGCTACACATCATCTGCTGTGGTATTCAGCAGCAGGTGAGTACTTCTGAGGACCACAGTGGATATAGCTAATTGTCCTAGGTTGTGTATCAGGCATAGGGCACCTTCATGTACAAGTGGATCATTTGCCATGTCCATCTGAGCAGTGAAAAATGCAGCAGTAGGAGGCTTGGCTAAATCTGAGCCAAAGTGTAAACCAGATGTTTAGTTTTGTTTCTCACCTACCTCTAGTTGGAGTGTCTTTCATCTAACTCAGTAAAAACTCAGCCTGAACACCCTGTCCTTTCAGGGAATGAGGCACTATTTCTTTGCAGAGAAGCAGGGAATCTGCCAACATGTGAAGATCAGACTCTACAAACTACAATGTGAATGCTGTAAACTGCCCAGTGCATTGCAACACATTTCTAACAGATTTGAGGCCACACCAGGAATTAAGGCAATACAGTGCACATTGATCCCTTTCCAGAAAATGACTTAACTATTTTTAATTTGGACTTAACATAAACCCACAGTGCTGTTTGTCTGGGACTACAGAGATCCTTACAGAGCAAGTTTAAGGAGAGTGTGAACAGTCACAGAAACCTGACTGTGGGAGAGGGAACTTGATTCTTTACTCTCAAGCTAACCTCTAATATATCAAGTGTGAGCTATTTCTTTGCTGATGTTTTTTATTAGACACCTAAGTCCATCATATTAAAGCATTTGTTATCAAACACAGCACAGACAGCAAGGCAAGGTGCACTGTGCTGGCCTATCACTGCCAAAACTGGCTACAAGAGAAGGGGGGAGAGAAAAGAGAAGTGGGAGTTTAAACACACCAGCAGTTCAAGATTCCTCTAGTAACACTCAAAGGAGCCGAGGTGCTTTGGTCACTTTCAATTTGCTGGAGTTCAGTAGGAGTCCCTCAGACAAAAGCTTACTTAAAATAAGGAGGCTTTTACAGAAATGATAACACGTTAGCTGCAGGTCCATAACTGTAATTTTCTGGTGAAAATTCATTAGCCTGTTTATTGCCAAATGGAAGTCATGTCTGCAAATTGTTCCTACGAGTCCAAGAATAACTTTCACAGTTAACTGAATCAGTATGTGTTTATCCCTTTAGATAAAAAAATTACAGGGTTGCAAGGGACATCCCTTGTTCTGGGGTTTTTCTCTGAAGTACTTCCCAGTGCTGTTATCCTTGTTCCTCATAACTGTGGCAGAAAGTAGGGAAGATAAAGCAGACAATGCTCCTCCATGCAGCTGGATTCCAGCCTCCATCAGATACAGACCAGGGAAAAGTCAGAAATCACAAGGACAAGCCTCGAAAACAGAGCAGTTGAGGTAATGTATGCCTCTGAGCAGATTTCTACATCTGACTGCTAAAGGCTTAACACAGCCCTCAGAATGGGGTAACAATGAGGGGGACTAGGCAGGAGCAGAGCAGCATCACAGGGATGTACATCACGAGTAAAGGTCCACACAGGTTATGGGACCACAGCACCTGGAAAGGGAAGAAACCACCAACAACTTTGTCCTACCACTGCTGTGACAACAGAGATGAACCTGCAAAATAGTAGCAGGTGAAAACTGTAGAGAAAACATATTATGATTTGCAATCCAGGAGACTTTTCTGTGCTAATGAACTTTCTGGCTCCCAACTTCCAGAATTACTAAAACCAACTTGTGTTGTCTAGTCTATGAAGTGGAAAATATTCGTGCTACACTAGTTCATAATTCAGACTCATGCCAGACTAACCTGAGCAGTATACTCACAAAAGTCAGCAGAGTTTGTCAGCCTAAATGGTTCTTTGCATCTGGTTGAGGCAGAATAGGAGCAGAAAAATCTATTCCAAGTTTCAGCCTGCCAGAAGAATACACATGCAGCTTGTCTGTATAAAGATGCTGTAGATTCTGAGACTGCTTTTCATTTTTAAGCACATTAAAATTGTGTCCATACTATTTAGCCCATGATGGGCAACTCTTGAGCTAACAAGAGGCACAAAAAAAAAAAAAAAAAACCCACTCTGAAGGTATTTTAGTTTAAGCTTTCCTGATTGCTTGCACAAATCATATCTTCCTTTCCTACTCCCTAAGATGTTGCATCACTGACATCACTGCTGATACACAGATATTTGAGAGAGCAGGTGATGCCTCTGGCAAAAGCTGTAGAAAGTTTATAAAGGTGGTATCCCCACCTCCTCTTCCATAATATCTCTCTGTACATTTCCATGCCTGTGTATGAGGAAAGAATGAAGGAGCTGCTGTGCATCATCAGACATTTTAAGTGCTCATGTGTGGAGAACAGACTTCAGAAGTGGTTACATTTTTCAGCTCCACTTTAAATGGGTCAAAGGAGAAAACAACTGTCTATAAAGCAAAACAAAAGCAGCTGGAAAGAATTAGGAGAGGCCTGAAGTACCCCTGGGAGCATGTTTGGGACTGGCGGTAACACTGTTGCAGACAGGATGACCTATGGACATACATACATACGTTAACATGTACAGGGAAAGGCAGTATTTTTTGTTAAACAGAGTGACACAGGCAAGTTTCGGGGGGGGGTGGGGGGTGGGGGGTGTGAAGCTGGCTGTAAACAACTGAAAATACCCACATAGACATGTACATTGTAAAATAGCTTCCAAAATTAAAAATAATCATAGATTCATGAATGGTTTGGGTTGGAAGGGACCTTAAAGATCATCTAGTTCCACCCGCCCTGGAAGGCAGACACCTTTCACTAGACCAGCCTGAGCTCTGAAACATGCTAAGTGAGGAAGGCATGGGTCCCTCACAGAACCTTGTTCAGGGACTGTGGTCTGGTTGGGTCTGTCTTTTGAGCCCAGAGAGCACCACTGGAGCATTCCCCACCCAACCTGCAGCAAGTAGCTTGGACAGGAGGTGGGGATTACCAGATGTGCTTGGTAGGTGCCACAGCTTGGTATTCATGGTCTAATGTAAAAACAGCAGGTGAGGACTGTCAAAATCTGGTTGCTTTTACAAAACTGTTCTCTGCTCTTATTTGGGTGATCTGAAGAGCCATTAGTTTCTTAACTGCTCAGACATCACCACTGAAAGATAGATCAACACCCAGATACCCCGACAGTAAGTACATCTGAAATGCCTGGACAAGCTGGGTATCTACCAAACTCAGCTGAGCTAAGTTATAAGGTATTTTAGGTCCCTAATAAGTTTCATATGATCAAAGAAAGAGTATTTTGTCAAACTCAATAGGAAAAGGAATTCATAGATATTTTTAACTGAATTGGAAACAGATTGTTTGGCAATATTTGGATATAAAAGATATTTTCCCTGTAGCATCAAAAATTCAAATCTGACAGCACATGACAGCTGGGGATCAAAGGTGACAATTCAATATTGACTCCCCAAGCCAAGGAAAATGCAGCAAATCAGCAATTTGGAGGGGACCTACAAACTGGTGTTAAGGATTTGCAGAGGCAAGTTCATATATATTCTAGGGTGTGCTACACTGGACAGTTCCGGATGGGATCTGCACCCCCACTGGAAAACGTGAATGGGATCTACAAATTGAAACAGGCTGATTACTATTGAATTAAAACCACAGCAACAATGGTACAGAGCAATTGCCTACATCCTGAAAAGTTGGACATATGCGTAACTTCAAACATAGGATATGCAAAAAAAGATATATTAAGACATTAAATGCATAAACCTATTGTCCATCAACCACGTGGATATACGCCAGAGTGTCTGCAAGTTCAAGCTTAAATTACACCTTCAGAAATAATTCCATTCTGATATTTTAAAGCATGTTATTAATTCAGGTAACTAAAATATATTTATTTTAAAGAACTTGACTTTTAACTTTACGATACCCTGGTTTAGAAAAATAATTTTACTTCAGCTTTTGAGCTAAAAGTCTGTCTGATTAAAAGGTACTAGTTTAGCAGATCTTAATTTTGACTCACATAAGCCTGTTAATCCATGTAAGTGTCACCTTTTGGGGTTTGTTTTTTTTTTGGTCTGGCTAGGTAGGCTGGTGACCAAAAGAGTAATAACTGTCTTCGAAGAGCATGCATATAATACAAATAAGGACTTCCTAAAATAAATCTAAAAATGAATCTTGCATTTCATTAACCTCTGGTTTTATGAGGGAATTACAATTAAAACCCATCTAGGAAAAGCCTAAAGAAAACCAAAATTACACACTATATAACTAAACACAGACTTGCTGGTGTGACACAGACCCATTCCAAACAACACTCAGCATAAACTGGTAAAGTGGCATAGTAAATTTCCAATTAAAAACCTCAGCTAATGAAAGCTGAAATGAGACACTTTATACCTACACAGAGCTTAAGAGTCAAATTACTCTTATTTCAGGATAGAGTCACACAGCCAATGAAAACACGTTAAGAGCCACTCATACCAAAACCTGGGCTCAGGTGTCTCAGTACATCCCTGAGAGACAGCAGGTTCTGCACCACTTTCCTCAGTGTTTACAGCCAGTCACCAGAAACCAAGATGGTGCAGGAGTCTTGAAAAGCAAGCTCCTATTGAATCACTCCAGCAGCATTACCTGTCACATGCCTCAGGTTTAGGAGATCACCATTAGCAGAATCAAAACCTTCAGAAACCTCCCTGGGTATTACCCACTACCAATTTAAATGATGGCTGCCATCTGCAAGGACTATACTTTGGATGTGAACTGTTAGCCAGTACCAAGCAGCCTAAATTGAACATTTGCTCCACAGCAGGACAGAATTTGATCCTTTGAACTTATGCCTTTTTGTCAAGGGGAAATTTAACACACAATAAAATCAGGTGGAAATTTGCAGCCTATTGGACAGAAGGCTACTGGCTTCCACTGCTGAATCCTGCTGCTCCAGTCATGCTTCCAGCTAGCAGTTGTTAGTAGGTATTGTATCACCCTCCTGAGAGAGAACACAGACATCCAATTACTCACAGACTAGGAAGAGCATAAGCTCTCCTTACATTCATATACATTACTCTGCCTCACATGTGAACTGCAGAGATCAAGGATAAGTGAATTTGATTTCTCTCACTATTGATTCCTTCGTATCTTTAATAAAAGATTGAAGCTAGATGACCGGGGGGGGGGGGGGGGTAAGGGACAAAAAAAAAGAAGAAAAAAAAAAAAGGAAGTTAATTTTGCTGTGTGAATAAATCCCCACTTAGAGATAACTTGAAAATCACACACAATTTTACTTTGTACACATTCCTGAGCAATATATCACACATCAATGACTTTTCACAGAAACATCCTTTTCCTCTTGGTCACTGATTTAAAGTCGATTTAGGACTGATCACCACCAAGAGTCATTGTTTTCTGAAGGATACTCAGAGACCTGATTATTCAGAGAGCTGATTTTCTCACCTTGTAAGGAAGTGTGAAGGAATTATATCAGACACATTTAACCTCCTTCTATCCCATAAAACCACAAAGCATCCAGAGGAAAGTTAGCTAATGGCAGGCAGATGTTTTTGTTGCCACAATACCTGGGGTAAAGTTATTCTTACTTGTGTAGTCTTATCCTCTGCCACTCTGGATCACTAATATCTCTCTCTTGCCTCTCATGCAGGGATCGTCAGTGGAAATTCATTGTCTGCAGGATGACAGAGTATGACTGCCCATTTCAAAATGTTTAAAAGATTGAGTGTACCTCACTTGGAAAGCCTGGGGACAGACAGACAGGGCGGGATGAGGTTCAGTGATTACAGAACAGCAATTAGACTTAAAAAAAAAAACAAACCAAGACTCATCAGCTGTCTGCTGAAGATACAGTTCTTTCCCTCTGGAGCTAATGAATAAACTACCAACCCACACACTTGCAACAGCAATTTTGGAGGATTCCTTTAAGCTGCACTGGCAGTTGTATTCCCCAATTAAAATTGCTTATGGCATACAGGTTTATGATACTCAAGTCAATGGCATATGCACTATTACCTTTTTTATATAAACATATAGCCATTCTGAACACATGCAACTTTCTTTCACGTAGCAACTTTGTATAAATTGCACAATCACTCCAAATGAGGTGGAAATACACTATAAGCTTTCCAACATGAACTAGACTTTCCTGCCTTCTACTTTGTACTTGGAACCAATGCAGCGATCCCTACCAGCTTCTCAGCAGCAGTAGCCGAGAGTGTGCTGAAAGTGGCATCAAGAGGTCTCTGATTTATCTGGCATTACATGTACAGCCCTCAGCGTAATTCCACTGCAACAAAGGTCTGCTTGCACAAGGGAACTCTAAGTATTTACAACACTAGAAGCATCAATACCTGATTAAATGAGCATAGATCCATCAATAAAAACAGAAGCCTAACCACCCAGCTTTACTGACAGTGTCTTTTATATTGTCTTAAAGGTCTCTTATGCCATAACTAGCCAGGAGCTCTACTCTAGGCAAACCCTGGAGTAGGTCAGGCCACTTGCTCTTTCAGTAAAGACAAATACTGCATTTGTCACGAGTCTACTTTTTAGATGGCTTGTGTTTCCACCATGGATGCCTAAACAAATTTCATCTGCCTTTGTTAATATACTTTTGGCTTAGAATAGACAAATAAAGCTAATGACTTAGGTGACCTCAGTTCCTCCAGCTTGCAGACCTCATTCCCTGTAAAGGATAAGCTGGCCATGCTTCAAGACTGCACAGCACTTGTGCAGCTGTAATCCAATAAGAAAGAATATTGATTTCTTCCAGGAAGGTCAGAGGCAGGAGTTTTGCTCTTGAATAAACCAGAATTTAGTGCTCAGATTCTCAGCTGATGAAGTCAATGGCAAACTTAGCAGTGGCTTGCACGGTGCTGGCTCAAGGGCCATGATGACCCCCTGTATCAATTTAGTTGTAAAGCTTCATAGGAAACAAGAGGTGTCAGGCAGTCAGTTTCCATGTTCCAAGCATTTTTAACATATTTGCTAGCATACCCTCAAGTGTGAGCATTAAAACTACACTTGTCCAATAAAAGAATAATGGGTTTTGCATTACTGTAGCCTTGTTCTTTTTTGATTTTACTTACACCAGCTTATTAATTTGCACACAAAGAAACCCTCTGTCATTCCCAGAGACCATGGTGGTGATTAGAGAGTTTCTGTGAGAGCCAGCTGCTGAGACATGTACATAACAGTGGGAAAGAGAAATCAAGAGCCCCAGGGAAGTTGGAGAAGCTTGTTGGCTGACACAGGTGGAGAGGTAAAAGAAGCCAGTGGAGCTCCGAACAGTAGAACACCATACGAAAAGGCACTCATGGCAGGGAGTTGATGGAAAAGGCCAGGCACTATAATCAGGCATAGAAGGATCACCTCTAGGAAGACCTGCTCTAAATTGATACCATCTTCTGCACAATTTTATCTTGACTGCTGTGGCTGCTCTCAATTCTGTGTGTGTACTATGGCCTTATGGAAGCCCCTGTGAGGGACACGACAAGATCAGCTTAAGTTCATTTAGACCCACAGCACCATGGAAAGGAGCAGTTCTACTTTGCTGTCCACTGGTGTGGCAGTGTGACATTGTTCCATATACAACCTTTCTCCTTCATCCCTGTCCCAGTCACTTCCTTCCACCCATGCTCTATTCCCAGCTCCGCCCCAGCAGTGCATCTGTGTAGGATACATTTCACAGGACTCCTCTTCAGGAACTTAAGTAATTCTCAGATGAGGAAAGGCGTGGGTGGGAAACAGAATGTATCTTGGGAGAAGGCAGAAATGGGATGTGGACCAAAAAAAACCAAAAAAGCTGAACTGAGGCAGAGAAAAAGTGATTCCTAAGAAGTCCTAGGACAGCCAGTCAGCAAAGCCAGGAACTGAACTTATGTTTTATCATCTAAGTTTTTATCTAAGTTGCAGCATCCATTTCTAATGTTAGGTAATCTTTCCATGTTGGCAGACATTTCTTCAAAGCTGATAAGGTTCCAGCCCAAATTCCTCAGCACAGAGCAGGCAAAGCCTGCCTTGCAAAAGTTCACTGGCTTCAAAACCTGATCAAGACTGCTTTGACTTTCCTAAAGCCATTCCAGAAAAGAGAGCCTTTTGACCTGCTTAGGACACCTCACCAAATCTGAAATACCTTTCACTCGTGTTAACACAAACCAGACACCACTGCAGGGAAACAGTGTTGTGCCTATTCAGGCCCAGTGCAACTGAACACAGATGCCTGGTACAGGGGGCCCACAGAACTTGCTCATTCTCATGTTTGCTGTGGTACACAAGCACCGCACCTACACACGTAATACACAGGGTGAAAGTCACCCCTGATCTAAGAGCCAACACAAAGCCAACGTATCACTAAAGTCTCTTCTCTGCCTAACATTTTAAATAAACCCTTATTTTTTAATAAATAAAACATCAGGAAATAAAGTCTTCTTTATTTAATAAGTAACATCAGTATGGATAGAATTCAATCCTCTGAGATAACAGCACTCTATTGTAAAGGCTGAGTGTTGCCCCAGTCACGCTCCAAGAGCTGCAAATGGCACACTGTCAGTGTCGTCAGGGATTTTTTTAGACAAACTAGGGCAGGGGAATCTTTGCATTCACAAGGGGAAATGCAGCAAATTTCAAAAAATAAGGAGAACCTTTTGAATTTCTCTAAATAAAAAAAGTGAAGAATAAAAATTGGTGTGAGCTGGTTGGGGAAAAGAGATACCAACACTGACTCCCTTTGTGGGTCTCCTTTAACCTGAAAACGGGTGAAGCCTGGTGCTAAGCCAAACCTACATCCTCCATCCACTTTGACCCACTTCGACCCACTTCTTTTGAAGAGAGGTTTGAGTAAGAGAACAGCATAAGTAATTGGGGGAAACACAGGCAATGCTATCAACTCCAAAGAGTCAAGGAAGAGGACTTGACTGAAGATTAACTGAAGTTAAACTTTCTCCCAAAACTGAATGGGGGACTTTCATAGGAAAAAAAAAAAAGAGAGAACTTTATTTTTTACATATATTCTGATTTCTCACTTGCAGAGTACGTAAACACTTCCAACATTTTTCCACATTCTTCACTTCCACTATTTTTCAAGTGCTTCAAACAGCATTTTTCAATTACTTCTCAACAACACTGAACCTGTAAATGCTTTTTTTAAAGTGAAGGCTGAGATTCTTGTTTAATCACTAGACGGTGAGAGCTGGGATTAGTTTTACAGGACATCAAATACTGTAAGACTAATAATAAACAAAGTTAGCAACACAGCACTGATGTAAAAAATAAATAGCAAGCCCATAGCCATATTGAAATAAGGCGTATTTCCTCTAAAATCAAGAGGGACCTTTCAACCTCTTCCAGTCAGTGTTCAGGATTTTGTAATGTGAAATAAACCTGGCAGAGAGTCATGGCATCACCTAAACAGAGAGATGCCAACACAGCTAAAGGGAAACCAGTTTGTGGATAAAACAGAAGACCTGGCAGAAGACCAGCTGGCTCTTAGGAAAACTTACTTAGAGTTGGCCCTTGACTCGCAGCCATTTAATCCTTTTCTGGTCTTAAACATTATTTCAAGCCCATGATTATCACACCAGCAGCATGTTACTGTACTGGCCTATGTCTTTAAGGCTACAGTACTGTTTGCAAACAGAGAGTATGAACATCACTGGTAGTGGCACTTTGTGCCAGAGTTGTTGGCATGAACATTTGTTGGCAGGAGGAGTTCTGCTAATGACACTATCAAACATAAAACATTGCTTGTACCTACATTTACTTTTGAAGACACAGAGGTTACACAAGAGACTGCTACCTTATTCCTCACTGTTTCAGGGTACTTGCATGCGTGTAGCTGATGCTCTCTGTAGCAATCTGGACCTATGCATTGAGAAGCTTAGAAAAGGCAGCAGGGCTTCCCACATGCTGAAAATGAAATACATGGACAAGTGTCTGTGGGTCAGAGCCAGAAGGCTTGGCTCTGTCTTTCAGCATACCTGAACAGCATTGACTTCAGCCATATTCAGCTTGGGAACTTTGGCCAAAATTTATGGAGTACAGTCTTAAGCAAAACTCAGGCACCTAAATATTTTTCAAGATCTTAGTTTAGCTGGTGCATCTCTACCAGGAAGACTGGAAAAACTGGATCTCAAGTCAGAGGGAAATAAATTGAAGACTGTGCCAAGATACATAGGGACCGATAAGGCATCGCATATTCTCTTCAGACTTTCTCCGTGAAGTGGCCTGGCAGTTGAATCAGGCGATCCTTGTAGGTCCCTTCCAACTGATAGTCTAGTCCTGGAAAATCTACATGATTTAACCTCAAGAGGTTAAATCCTAAGACTCTTGCTACATTTTTACAGGATGTGAGCTTCAGTTTAGGTGCAGGAGCAAATTTTCCAGGCCTTGCCTGAGCAAAACAAGTCACCACACTGCAGAGCCTGCTCCTCAAAAGATCAGCCCAAATTGTGGAGACACAGAAGAAGACACAGGTGCACAAGAGATAGTTCTATCTGAGAGAAAACTCAGGAAAATGCCAAAAAATGAACAGTGAGACAGATGAAGCCACCTGAAGAATATGTCATTATGTAATTTCTTAAAATAAAATGCATGCTCGTCTATGTTAGGAGATGAGATGACTGGGATAATTTAATACCAGCAAAATTTCAGGAATTTGGAGAAAGCTCCCCAAATAACTTTGCAAGGAAAAAGCTAGCACAGTATGTCAAATACCATCCCTGAAAAGCAGAGGATTTGCCAAGTGAAGCAGAACCAACTGATAATGTTGGTATAATTCTTTTAATCTGTGTTGGGAACTCTTAACCCTTGACCAGAGAAAACAGAGATGAGAACAGAAGGAATAAGTTAACAATGAAGCGTGAGTAGAAGGCGGAGGTGTGATCACAGTTGAAAAAAGAGGCAAGAAAAAAAAACCAACACAAAAGCAAATGAAATCTCAACAAGCTAAAGAAAATGGGCCTTGGGCTCAATATGAACTGAACTTCTCTGAGTTCCATGGTTGTGTGAGGCTGCAGAAGAGGTTTTGCTTCAGCTAACATAAACACATTGCTCAAGCTACTTCAAAGTCTGAAGTTACTTAAGATCCTGGCTTGGGTTCAGACCCATGTTTAAGTGAACAAGCTTTGACTTGGAAATTGATATATTTAAGCAAAAACACAGCCATAATTACAAGCCATCCAAAATTCAGTGCTTTTGTCTTTCACTGAAATGTAGCAGATGCCACAGCTGTGTCCAGGGGTGAACGTGACTCCCATCCATTGGTTTTCATCCAGGCAAGCTCATAGAGATTTTTTCCTTCTCAGCCCTTACTTCTCTTTTCACCTGGGAGGTAGGAAACATGGCTTTACAAAGCATCCAGGATGGCCTTTTGTAGGTCTCACCTTGGGTTATAGTAGCCAAAAAAAGGATACTATAACCTCAGAGGGAGGCAACTAGCTTCTCCTAATTTATTTTCCTGGTCAAGCTTCTCTTCCTCTAAGTTTCACATGATTTTGCTCTGAAGCTGTTCCTGTGCTTTCACCACCTCTCCTGTATTCATGTAAGAATACTTACAACTACTGAAAGGTTTTGGGCAGCAATCTGCCTACCTGGCCTGTCATGTCACTTACAAACTAATTGCATGCAGCACCATAGAAATGATAAAAGACAACAACTTAAAACAGCTTTATCATAGTGCAATCTCAGATACATCTCCCCACTGATCAAAGTCCTGGTCCAAAGCCCACTTATAATAGTAGAAGCCTCACTATCAAGTTTTGCAAGGTTTGCACTATTCCTTGTGTGAGGAAATAGAGCCATCTCACATGGAGAAAGCTGATGTATCTTTCTCAGTCCTAAAGCAGCAGCAGGGAGGGGATGCTGCTCTAGTAAATAAACAATCTCTGATCATGATCTTACACAGAAAGATCCCCTTTCTTCCTTTATTTATCTTCATTTGACTTAGTCAGTGAGTTTGACACTGGGTGAAAATTTGAGGTAGCCTTGGAGAAATTCTTACCCACATAATAGACAGAGCACTTTCCTGTCACATATTTCTGACCTCCCCTCTACAGACCTCTTT